AAACCAGCCTCAATAATAATAATAATAATAATAATACAAACGTTTCATCAGCTGGGGGACAGAGGCAGGGCTGTGGAGTCGAAGACAAAACCTTCGACTCCGATTCCGACTCCGACTCCTCAAATTTTTATGCTTCCGACTCCGACTCCGACTCCTTGGCCTATTTGTAACAACTATTTCTACCATCCTAATTGTAATTTGTATGTTGTAACCTGCATAGGTAAAAAGTAAAACACCCTGGCTATACTGCTACAGCTTTATTAATGATCTGGACGATATTTAAGAACTACAAAAAGATGATAGGCTTGACTTTCAAAGTTTCAATCAAAAGAAAAATAAATTTATTAAGAATTCAAGATATTAACTAGAAAACACCATTTACATGTATATCTAAAAGTTCGATCTCAGCATATGAATTTTGTTTAAGCTCATAATCTGATGTGGATCTAAATGATGATCCTACAATTCCTTTTAAAGTAAAGTTATATATTTATATACATTAAAGAAATGAATACCTTATTAAGGAAAATGGATAAACCTTACATGATTAAGTTATTAAATTGAATTTGCCTTAATCTCACCAAAAACAGGTTGTAGCTAATTGTTTTGTAGCTGAGAGCCTCTGTGCAGTTTTCAACGAAACAAAATTTGATATAATTCAAAATTTCAAATGGTAAAGAAGAGACTATCGTCCAAAATTATAGTGCTATACTGTGCCTGCTACAATAAATTCATAATAATTCTTATAAAATGGAAATAAATTCTTTTAATAATTTAAGAAAATTAGTGGGATCAGTGGAATCACTGCAATGAATATGCCTGAGTTCATATATTTGTTCTTAGGAACAGAATAGCTTCAGTCGGAGTCGGAGTCGGAGTCTGGACAATTTTACCGACTCCAACTCCACAAGCCGAAATTTCCTCCGACTCCTCGACTCCGACTCCACAGCCCTGATAGGTACTCCTGAATGTGCTGCTTAAGGATCTGTTAACCAAAATTTGATATCTTGATTATAACTTGTTCAAATGGCTTTTAGAAAATGTTCAAATGATTTTTAGAATATTCTAATTACTTTTGCAGTGCTAATTACTCGCCACTTATGGGTTTTCGAGGTCATTTCTTGGTGCTTGTGTATTATTCTGGATGTACTTAAATAGTTAGGCACATTAAATTTTAGTTCAGAGAGAAAACGTAATTTTGGCCAAAATCCTTTAAGGCTATAGACTTACAATTTTTGTCATTTTTGGCCAAAAAATGGATTTTGTTCAAAATTTCGGTATAGGTACTCCTGAATGTGCTGCTTAAGGATCTGTTAACCAAAATTTGATATCTTGATTATAACTTGTTCAAATGGCTTTTAGAAAATGTTCAAATGATTTTTAGAATATTTTAATTACTTTTGCAATGCTAATTTCTCGCCACTTATGGGTTTTTGAGGTCATTTCTTGGTGCTTGTGTATTATTCTGGATGTACTTAAATAGTTAGGCACATTAAATTTTAGTTCAGAGAGAAAACGTATTTTGGCCAAAAATCCTTTAAGGCTTTAGACTTACAATTTTTGTCATTTCGACCAAAAAATGGATTTTTTTCAAAATTTCAGTATAGGTACTCCTGAATGTGCTGCTTAAGGATCTGTTAACCAAAATTTGATATCTTGATTATAACTTGTTCAAATGGCTTTTAGAAAATGTTCAAATGATTTTAGAATATTTTAATTACTTTTGCAATGCTAATTTACTCGCCACTTATGGGTTTTCGAGGTCATTTCTTGGTGCTTGTGTATTATTCTGGATGTACTTAAATAGTTAGGCACATTAAATTTAGTTCAGAGAAAACGTATTTTGGCCAAAAATCCTTTAAGGCTATAGACTTACAATTTTGTCATTTTCGGCCAAAAATGGATTTTGTTCAAAATTTCAGTTTAGGTACTCCTGAATGTGCTGAGATCTGTTAACCAAAATTTGATATCTTGATTATAACTTGTTCAAATGGTTTTTAGAAAATGTTCAAATGATTTTAGAATATTTTAATTACTTTTGCAATGCTAATTACTCGCCACTTATGGGTTTTCGAGGTCATTTCTTGGTGCTTGTGTATTATTCTGGATGTACTTAAATAGTTAGGCACATTAAATTTTAGTTCAGAGAGAAAACGTATTTTTGGCCAAAAATCCTTTAAGGCTATAGACTTACAATTTTCGTCATTTCGGCCAAAAAATGGATTTTGTTCAAAATTTCAGTATAGGTACTCCTGAATGTGCTGCTTAAGGATCTGTTAACAAAATTTGATATCTTGATTATAACTTGTTCAAATGGCTTTTAGAAAATGTTCAAATGAATTTTAGAATATTTTAATTACTTTTGCAATGCTAATTACTCGCCACTTATGGGTTTTCGAGGTCATTTCTTGGTGCTTGCGTATTATTCTGGATGTACTTAAATAGTTAGGCACATTAAATTTTAGTTCAGAGAGAAAAAGTATTTTGGCCAAAAATTCTGTAAGGGGTAAGCCTTACAATTTTTGGCATTTCGTCCACAAATGGATTTTGTTCAAAATTTCAGTATAGGTACTCCTGAATGTGCTGCTTAAGGATCTGTTAACCAAAATTTGATATCTTGATTATAACTTGTTCAAATGGCTTTTAGAAAATGTTCAAATGATTTTTAGAATATTTTAATTACTTTTGCAATGCTAATTACTCGCCACTTATGGGTTTTCGAGGTCATTTCTTGGTGCTTGTGTATTATTCTGGATGTACTTAAATAGTTAGGCACATTAAATTTTAGTTCAGAGAAAAAAAGTATTTTTGGCCAAAAATCCTTTAAGGCTTTAGACTTACAATTTTCGTCATTTCGGCCAAAAAATGGATTTTGTTCAAAATTTCAGTATAAGTACTCCTGAATGTGCTGCTTAAGGATCTGTTAACCAAAATTTGATATCTTGATTATAACTTGTTCAAATGGCTTTTAGAAAATGTTAAATGATTTTTAGAATATTTTAATTACTTTTGCAATGCTAATTACTCGCCACTTATGGGTTTTCGAGGTCATTTCTTGGTGCTTGTGTATTATTCTGGATGTACTTAAATAGTTATGGGCACATTAAATTTTAGTTCAGAGAGAAAACGTATTTTATTAAAATCCTTTAAGGCTATAGACTTTAATTTTGTAATTTCCACGACCCAAAAATGGATTTTTGTTCAAAATTTCAGTATAGGTACTCCTGAATGTGCTGCTTAAGGATCCTGTTAACCAAAATTTGATATCTTGATTATAACTTGTTCAAATGGCTTTTAGAAAATGTTCAAATGATTTTTAGAATATTTTAATTACTTTTGCAATGCTAATTACTCGCCACTTATGGGTTTTCGAGGTCATTTCTTGGTGCTTGTGTATTATTCTGGATGTACTTAAATAGTTAGGCACATTAAATTTTAGTTCAGAGAAAAACGTATTTTTGGCCAAAAATCCTTTAAGGCTATAGACTTACAATTTTTATCATTTTCGGCCAAAAAATGGATTTTGTTCAAAATTTCAGTATAGGTACTCCTGAATGTGCTGCTTAAGGATCTGTTAACCAAAATTTGATATCTTGATTATAACTTGTTCAAATGGCTTTTAGAAAATGTTCAAATGATTTTTAGAATATTTTAATTACTTTTGCAATGCTAATTACTCGCCACTTATGGGTTTTCGAGGTCATTTCTTGGTGCTTGTGTATTATTCTGGATGTACTTAAATAGTTAGGCACATTAAATTTTAGTTCAGAGAGAAAACGTATTTTTGGCCAAAAATCCTTTAAGGCTATAGACTTACAATTTTCGTCATTTCGGCCAAAAAATGGATTTTGTTCAAAATTTCAGTATAGGTACCAGGGCTGTGGAGTCGAAGACAAAACCTTCGACTCCGACTCCTCAAATTTTTATGCTTCCGACTCCGACTCCTTGGCCTATTTGTAACAACTATTTCTACCATCCTAATTGTAATTTGTATGTTGTAACCTGCATAGGTTAAAAGTAAAACACCGTGGCTATACTGCTACAGCTTTATTAATGATCTGGACGATATTTAAGAACTACAAAAAGATGATAGGCTTGACTTTCAAAGTTTCAATCAAAAGAAAAATAAATTTATTAAGAATTCAAGATATTAACTAGAAAACACCATTTACATGTATATCTAAAGTTCGATCTCAGCATATGAATTTTGTTTAAGCTCATAATCTGATGTGGATCTAAATGATGATCCTACAATTCCTTTTAAAGTAAAGTTATATATTTATGTACATTAAAGAAATGAATACCTTATTAAGGAAAATGGATAAACCTTGCATGATTAAGTTATTAAATTAAATTTGCCTTAATCTCACCAAAAACAGGTTGTAGCTAATTGTTTTGTAGCTGAGAGCCTCTGTGCAGTTTTCAACGAAACAAAATTTGATATAATTCAAAATTTCAAATGGTAAAGAAGAGACTATCGTCCAAAATTATAGTGCTATACTGTGCCTGCTACAATAAATTCATAATAATGCTTATAAAATGGAAATAAATTCTTTTAATAATTTAAGAAAATTAGTGGGATCAGTGGAATCACTGCAATGAATATACCTGAGTTCATATATTTGTTCTTAGGAACAGAATAGCTTCAGTCGGAGTCGGAGTCTGGACAATTTTACCGACTCCGACTCCACAATAGTTATAATGACACTGTGAACTGAAATTGAAATAAATTATATAAACCAGAGTAACGAGGCGTCACCCATCGCTAAGAGTTCTGCTGGGTGACTTGGGGTTATTGTTACTGATTTGTCTCCACCTGTGATGATGAGACCAAACCCTGAATCTGTCTGGATACTTGTGTGGGGTCTCTCAGTCAGTAGAAATATATTCTGTAAGCAAGATAACTATCTCCTCAATATAAAGTTATAATGAAACTTTGTAGGAAATCTTGTCTAACTATGATCTTGGATATGATTATATAAGAGTTTTAATTAACCTTGTATGAGCTTTCTAGAATGACCACATCACTGAAAATGTTGTGTTCACTTTGAAACAAGAACAATTTACCATCATTAGAGGTTAGAACTTTCCCAGTCTTGTAGAATCAATAGTCTGGTATGTGACATGTCCCTTGGTATGATTCTAGTGTGCTGGACACGTGGTCGTGGATGAAAGAGGTGGAGGACGAGCAGTACGACGTAGTGACGTGCCTCAACCTACTGGACCGCTGCGACACACCCAGGACCCTCATCGAGGATATCCGCACCAAGCTGTCGACGCACGGGGCCCTTGTTGTGGCTCTCGTCCTCCCCTTCAGCCCCTATGTTGAGATTGGTAAGTGATCTGTACATTCAAAGTGACGAACATGAGGCGACGTCCCACAAAACAACGATATCGCTAAACTTAGGAATTTTCTAAATACAGTACAACAACATCTTAACATCCAGTCACTTTACACACACAAATAGATCTTTATAATGTTCTGGGCTCAGCAAAATCAGTTAATAATTGAAGCATATTGGGGAGTCATTTAGTTTGGGAAGAGAGATCTCAGCTGAATGAGTAATTGTATTTTATTCATGTAGAATGTCTTAGGCATCATTTGAAACAAAGGGGGGGGGGGGCGTTACACTTATGTTTACGTTAAATCTGACCTTACCTTTCCTGGCTGTGTTTTCAAGAAATAGACAGGTCTGACAAAATAAGAGTAATTATTATTGGTTAGCCAGACTTCTATAAAGACGTGCTAATGAGATGTACAGACAGAAACTTCACGCTTCCCCTACCCCACCTCCCCTTAGACCTTCCCCTACCCCACCTCCCCTTAGACCTTCCCCTACCCCACCTCCCCTTAGACCTTCCCCTACCCCCACCTCCCCTTAGACCTTCCCCTACCCCACCTCCCTTAGACCTTCCCCTCACCCCACCTCCCCCAGACCTTCCCCTACCCCACCCCCCACCTTCCCTACCCCACCTCCCCCTACCCCCCTCCCCCCCTTCCCACCTTCCCCCTCCCCCACCTCCCCCTACCCCACCTACCCCACCTCCCCTCCCCACCCCACCTCCCCTACCCACCTACCCCACCCCCCTCCTCCCCCCCACCTACCCCACCTCCCCTTAGACCCCACCTCCCCTTAGACCCCCACCTCCCCTTAGACCTTTCCCCCCCTACCCCCCACCTCCCCTTAGACCTCCCCCACCTTAGACCTTCCCCACCTCCTTAGACCCCACCTCCCCTTAGACCTTCCCCACCTCCCCTTAGACCTTCCCCACCCCCCCCTTCCCCACCTAGACCTTCCCCACCCCACCTCCCCCTTTGACCCTCCCCTTAGACCTTCCCCCCCCCCCCACCTCCCCCCTACCCCACCTCCCCAGACCCCCCTACCCCACCTCCCCTTAGACCTTCCCTACCCCACCTCCCCTTAGACCTTCCCCCCCCTACCCCACCTCCTTAGACCTTCCCCTACCCCACCTCCCCTTAGACCTTCCCCTACCCCACCTCCCCTTAGACCTTCCCCCTACCCCACCTCCCCTTAGACCTTCCCCTACCCCACCCCCTTAGACCTTCCCCTACCCCACCTCCCCTTAGACCTCCCCACCCCACCTCCCTTAGACCTTCCCCTACCCCACCTCCCCTTAGACCTTCCCCTACCCCCCTCCCCACCTTCCCCTTCCTTCCCCCCCCACCTCCTTAGACCTTCCCCTACCCCACCTCCCTTACACCTTCCCCTACCCCACCTCCCCTTACACCTTGCCCTACCCCACCTCCCACCTCCCCTTACCTGACCTGACCTGCCCTACCCCACCTCCCTTAGACCTTGCCCTACCCCACCTCCCTTAGACCTTGCCCTACCCCACCTCCCCTTAGACCTTGCCCCACCTTCCCTCCCCCCCTACACCTTGCCCTACCCCCACCTCCCCTTAGACTTTGCCCTACCCCACCTCCCCTTAGACTTTGCCCTACCCTACAAAATCCTGGATCCATTCTAATCATAGTTGTTCATGAAAGCCTTTTGTTTGATTCTCTCTGGTGTGATGACTAATCAGTCCAAAGAATAATCAGCTCCTAATACATAACCTTAACGTGCGTATTACACACACGTTGTGTTTTCTTATTTTTCGCATATCGTATTAAGTTGTTTCGAACACTGCATTGAAATCATGTAATCATAATCTCATACATATGATAACAATAAATTCAGTTGTTGGTCGTTTTGGAATTTCTGTTCCAGTAGAGTATCGCCAGAGCACATTACCCCACTCCCCCCTTAAAATGTTTCCCCGAGATCAGGGGCAGTCCGGACCTCCCTCCTACATTATTCTGACATTGCAGGTACCATAGACAACATGCCGTCTGAGGAGCTGGGCGTTACGGGCACTGCCATAGAGGAGCAGGTTAACAGTTTAGCCACAGACGTCTTCCCCAGCCTGGGATACAAGCTGGAGCGGTGGTCGCGTCTTCCATACTTGTGTGAAGGTGACCTCGACCAGGCCTTCTATTGGCTGTCCGATGTTGTTATGGTGTTTAGCAAGGTCAATGACTGGTCAGAGGTCAACGAGAAGACAATATCTGCCAAACAGACAACGGAAGAGAGTGAAGATCATTACGATGACGCCCTTGACCATGTCGTATAGAGGATCAGATCATATCAAGAGAAGTGTTGAAAGACCATAGTATCTTATAAAGAGATGTCTTACTGAATATTTCACACTTCAAATAATGTAATTTTATAAATATATTTTATTAAGATTTGTTCATTTATTCCTCTGTTGAAAGATTGTTACTGTACTGGGAAATAAAACTTACTTTTGGATATATAAATGAAGTAGTTTCTGTTCTCCTTACTATAGGGTTAAGAATTGAAGAGCGTGTTAGATAAAATAAGCATTATGTTCATTTGTATGTGCAGTGTGTACAAATAAACTGGCAGGAGAACCTATATATAGTAATGACAATTAACCCTTTCACGGTTACTACCAGGTTATTCAATCGACTTTTCGTGGAGGTAGATTATCGACTTTTTGGGAAATATTAGCATATTTTCCAAAGTAGATTATCATAGAAAACGGGAAATTTGTATCACAGAAAATGGGAAATATTTCTACTTTCTGGGAAAGTTGGTTATCTACTTATCATAGAAAACGGGAAATTTGTGTCATAGAAAATGGGAAATATCTACTTTCCGGGAAAGTTGGTTATCTACTTTCCTGAAAAGTAGATTATCTACTTTTCGGGAAAGTAGATTATCGACTTTTCGTGGAAGTAAATTATCCACTTTTGAGAAATATTACCTATTTTTCAGAAGTAGATTATCATAGAAAACGGGAAATTTGTATCATAGAAAATGGGAAATATCTACTTTCCGGGAAAGTTGGTAATCTACTTTTCTGAAAAGTAGATTTTTCTATTTTTCCGGAAAGTAGATTATCGACTTTT